TACCTGCCTTTTGTTCTAAAATAATTTTTTTTTTTAAAAAAATCTATTCACTATAGAAAAGGAATCTTCCATCATGATAAAAATGATAGCTGCTGATGTGCACCAACCCTCGGGGTGCCCTCAGAAATGCTGAATTTGCATGGAATTACTCTTCAACTGAAAACATTTTCTTTGTGCCAAAAGGATAGGGGCACTAGGTGTAAAGATTCCATCCAAAAGAGTTTTGAAATCCATTTTTGCAGATGTGCTCTGATAAGCGAGTATACCCTGAAGACAGCCTCACCTTGAGGTTCTCTTCAAGGAGTGCAGTTAACCTCTTCGCGTTGGGAGCAGGCACGCGCCTTGCAGCTCCCTGGTCTGCTGAAGGAGTTGAGGGAGGAAGCACCTCAGGGTGTGCTTGTGGCGGAAATTTTGAGTACCCACAGAGGAGGCTCTTCTTAAGAACACAGGGTTTGTTTCAAAAGTGACTCCCAAGCTCCTTCCAGCACCTTAGTCCCTAACTCAGTACTGATCATGGCAGGTTCAGGAGGGACAAGGACCCTGAAGTATCAGGAGAGAGAAAAAGGGAAGCTCCTTCTCCAGTCTGGGAAAGACCTGGGCCAGATGCACCTATACCACAGATGCAACTGAGGGAAACAGCCTCCAGCTTCCCTTGCACTGCTTTGCTCCTCAAACATCCTGCTCATCTTGTATCAGGGCACTGTGAGACAAGCAACTTGTCCTGAACTCATGCTGTGGAAGGCCAGATAGCTACAGAGCCCTAACCTTCCCATCACCTTCATGTCAGGCTTTCTCTGCCTCTGGAGCCCCTGGAACATGGTCAGGGAAAGCGCTCGGAGCTCCAAAAAGGAGGTCTCTGACACTGATCTGCCCATGACACAGAAGTAAGCCTGTCTCTAAAATGCTTTTCCTTTAGTGCCCGGGTCACAAGTTTTATTTCACAAAAGAACCTTCCTGAAACATTTAGTCTTTCAGAACTGCCACACAGAACCACGCGAACGGGAAACAACTGCAGGAGAAGGCAGCTTTCCACTTCCCTCTTACTCGTTCTCTTTGCTTATGACTCTTGGGGATGCTTTTTAAGTGGGGTGCATAGATAACGCCTAAAACATCTCATCAGCTATGAGTCTGCTATCAACACATATTTACTGAAAAGCAATGTTTGCAGTCTAACAGTCAAGTTGTGACTCCGCTCCTTATTAGCTGGTGGCCTACAGGTAAGCTACAAATCTCTGCAGGCCTGTTTCCTCCTGAGATGTGGGACTAGCCCTGCCCACCTTGCAGCCTAGCCATTTCCTGTTGCTGAGCTGGCCACGCGGGGCAGCACAGCGAGCGCTGCTGCAGACTGGGGACGCAGCCAATTGATCATGAAATCCATTTTGTGGCTCATGATCATCACTTTGTCTTTTCTATGAACTACAACAGAATGGATATAATGGAAAACATCACAGCGCAGTGGCACGGCAGGAGTTGATGTTTTATGAGATTTTCGTTTCTGGGCATGTGTGTGCAGGGGCACGCATTCAACCCACGTGCGGCTGGAGAGCAAAGTGGCGCTCCTCCTGTGGATCCCACAGGCCACCCATGTGCAGGGGGCTCGGGAGCTTCGTGTTGACTGTCTCCCTTATTAGCCTTGAAGCCTGCTTCTCCTGCTTCCTCATGCCTCGGTTTTTAACTCCATCAGATGGGCATGATGAAAGGACTGAGCAAACCGTGAAGCGAGAGGCGTCAGGAAAGAAAGCTAAATCGTGCAGAGGGCTCCACAAATGTGAGCTGCTCGTGGGCAGCTCCCCAAGGTTGCCACAATGGAGGGCAATGAGAGGAAGAGGAGCAGCCCTGTCCCCTAGGAGACTGCACTCGGAATGTGGGCAGGCTGGGGACAGCGGTCATGGGCTGCACAAGGGGCTGCAGAGCATCAGCAGGGCACTGAGGGAGTCAGGAAGTGTGCGTGCCAGGGCAAGCCGAAGCCAGGAAGACCAAAGGATGGTCTTGCCGATTGTTCCTTACAGGGAAAATATTCCATTTCTCCATCGGGCCCTTAGCTTGAGTTCCTAGTAAGTGTGTGTGTTTGTGTTTTGCTTGGGTTTGCTGCTTCACTCTTTAAACTTATATAAATAGTTTTAAAGAAAACCACCAAAGATCACAAAAAAACAGAGTGATCACTGAGCCAAGACCCATTTCCACTTCAGGAGCAATCATGCTTAAAATGGTCGTATCTTAAGCCTGAATAAAGTCATTATTGTTCAAACATCTGAACTGAGTTTTTACAGACTTAATTCTTCATAACAAAATCTGTGAAGCAGGAATTACTAGTCCAGCTTAAGGACAAAGGACATTGACACTAGAGGGCTAGGTGACATCTTAAAAGGTCACATGCTCATAGAAAGCAGTGTTCGTGCTTAGTACATGCTGTCAGAAGGCCACTCCAGCCTGCCTCTGGACCCTTTATGCATCCCAAGTCTCCATACTACGGTATGTTTCTTGTATCAACCAACACTGCGTCCTGGAGACAAAGGCATATGCAGGCAAATACAAAGGTTCCGTGTTTACAACACTTGGTGACCGTGATCTACACGGATACAAAGCTTAGCCCTGTTTTGTAAGTGCATTCTCTGGAGTGGATACACAGAGCTTTTGCACAAAAGGAGGGTGGGAACTTATGGAACAGACCCAAAAGCTGGTGATGTCAAGGTGTTCTTAGTCTTTGCTCAGATGTGCTTCCAAAACATTCCTGGCGCAGCCAAGAATCATCTAACGCTACTTCTTTATTTAGAGCTCTTTTATGTACACAGGCAGACAACTGCTTCTTATTAAGAAGCATTAGAAGTAGCACGTTTCTAGATCCTTCCCTCCAAAGGTATGAAAGCACTTAACAGACAGGCGTATTGTCTCTGTTAAATAAACCTTCTCTGGCCCACTTTTGGGACACGCACACCCCAAAGATGTAACTTGGGAATTGAAGTTCTCTTCCTCTACTGTAACCACTAAGTCATGCTTCTAAAAGCCAGAGTGAATCTAATGTGCTGAAAAAAATCCTTTCCTATTTTTTCCTGAAAGACCCTTTTCTCTGACTTGTGAGAAAAATACACATTACTTGAAGTTTACCACCTTGACCATTTTATTCACACTGCTTTTGTGTTCTTCACCACCATTTACAGGATTTTTTTTTCCATCTTATACTACTTAAGGATATGAAACTGCACCATTAAAGCAGTGTGTCTGTCTTCTCTCAGCGCCTGTCGCACACCATCCTGTCTCTGTGACTGAACACCTCATAGCAGCGGAACACTTAGAATTTATTTTGCGACTGGCTCATTTCTTCTAACACAATGCCTTCCAAGTCAGTCCATGTTGTAGCATGTATCAGAGTTTCCTTCCTTTTTAATGCTGAATAATTTTCCATTGTATGGAGCAACCACGTCTTGCTTCTCCATTCACCTGGTGACGGACACTTGGGTGGCTTCCACCTCTTGGCTGTGTGGACCACGCTGAGAGGAACACGAAGGTGCCATCTGCTCAGCACTCCGCTTTTGTTTCTCTGGGGCACATACTTCGAGCACAATTGCTGGGTCGCGTGGTAACATTCTGCGAGGGGTTTCCAGGCCACTCTGCACAGCGGCTACCAGCACAGCACAAACATTCCAATTTCTCCATCCCCTCACCTAAACCCTCTTTTAAAATTTTTTTAAAATTTTATTTATTTTTTGATAGTAGCCATTGTGAACTGGTGTCTCATTGTGGTTCTGGGTACCTTGATTTCAAAATTACTTAAAATGATCACAGTACCTGAGAGGCTAACAGCAGGTAGTAATAGCCGTACGCAGCTATAAGCTGAAGGCCCACGCGCTCCTCCCTGGGGGGTGCCAGATCCTCAGTGCTTCCTAGTGAACAGTATTTGCAGGTTCTTTCTGCCCACACTCCCAGGGAGCACGCCTGAATGGCTCTTTCTCTTTCATTCCCTCTCTGTATTTCTTATCTCAGGAATAAGTGTGCGCCTGTGTGCATTCCCTAGCTCCCTTGATGCCCAGAGGATTACAGAGTGTAAATAGCTCCCAGAAACCCCACCTAACAAGCCTGAAGTTGAATCTGTACAAGTGTCAGGGCTGAGGGAACAATAAAGACTTGAAGCCCCAGGCCTGTGGGGACACACCCTGTGTTGACCCTGGAGGACAGTAATTACTCAATAAATACTTTCTGGATTGACGCTGGGTAGAAGAACTGAGGCAGTGACAGGAACCTCGGTTGCGCGGGAGAGCCAACCTCTAGAACACTCCCGAACGTCTTCTAGTAAGAAGCAGAAGAAAGCAACGCAGAGCTCAAGAGGAGATGGCAGGGCAAGGTCCACCACTGTGGACCACAAGGTCTGGGGTCCACAAGAAACACTCTACACACACAGCTCCCATGAGCTGGCACCTCTGACTGATCGGAAAGGAAGCGAAAACAAGCGCAGAGAGCCAGAATTCCTTTCCTGAGTCCTCTCTGCCGTCCTCTACTGACTGCTTCCCTGGCTAACGTCTCGCACTAAGGCCTACATTCTAAGAGCGTCTGTAATTCTCACAGCCCCATGGTTTCACAGGAGGCCCTCCATGGAGATAATCGCTCTTGAAAGGGTAGCTTTACTTCCCACAGCAAAATTCCCTCATTAAGACACTCACACTCCAAGTTTCCCTACAGAAACCGCTCAAGTGCTAAATGAACCATTTATCATTCTGTCCTCAGAGTTATGTGGTTATCAGTGGATACAACTGCAGTACCTGGGGAAGTGGCGGCCAGAAATCTGGCTGGGTAAGTAGCTATTCCTGAGTCCGCCTACCTCTTCCACCCCCACACATGCGAATAAACTCTAATATCCGATGAAAATACTTGCTGGAAATACCTATTAAAGTATGCTCTATTGGGGAATAGGATCAATCCAATTAAAAAAGACCAGTAAAATTAAAAGCAATTAAATGTAGGTACCCATATGAAAGGAGCATGCTGGAGCGCTCTGACTTGCATACCTGTGGAATGATCGACATTTTCTTCCTTAAATCGTGAAGCCCAATTTCAGTCGTCAAGATCTTATCAATCCAAATTTTACCTTCAGGTTCTGAAAGCCTAAAAAGCGCTGAGATGAGGGAACTCTTCCCAGCCCCTGTTCTTCCCACAATTCCAACCTACAGAGAAATCCAAGACGAGGGATTAGAAGTTAATAGTGTTTAATTTTTAATTAAAATGAAACAAACCTAGGAAAATATTTCTGGTTTTTCAAGTGAATTGTGGATGTTTTTATTCGGTTTTATCATCTAAAAATATTCTCAATTGCAGCGCTGTCAAGCTCAGGGGCTGGGTAAGTCCTCTTGGTGGGGGCTATTCCGTGCCCTGTGAGATATCCATCCATACCCCTGGCCTCTACCTACTCGACATCACATGCGGCCCCAAACTGGGATGATCTAAAATGTCAGAGAGTGACAAGTGTCCCTGTGGAGCAAGAGTGCCCCACTAAGAGCCACTGATGCACAGCAGAGTTAAAATTAGCCATCAACCTCCTAACAGGGAAAGCCAGCAGCCCGAGAAGTGGTTTTGAGAAGCCAGCTTTTACGTGAGCTCTGCCTCCAAAATCTAAGTATTATGAGCCTTGAGAATTTCTTGGGGAATGTCACAGAGATATTAACAAGCCAAGTCAAAAGTGCTATATATAAATAAGTACTAATTTTCCTGGAGTCCTGTCATGTAAGATAAGTTATTCATGGTAGAGAAACTAAATCTCCTTCTGTTCTTCTGCCCCAAAAGGAAATACCTTACAATTTCAAAACCCAGGCCTCCCGTGTCTTAACAGACAGTACCCAGTAGCCAAAACACACATAACAAGATCAACAACAACAACAAAAATAACACTTGCTGCTTATATAGGGCCTTTCATCTGAGTAGTTCAAAAGGCATTTTACAAACCAATTAATACTTGTAGGTGCCCCTTGGGAAAGACTCATGTCAAACATCATTCCTCTCATGAAAGCCAAAGCTGAAGAGAAATGAGGTGTGTGAACAACAAGATCAAAGAATCAATAGAATGCAGGTAAACTGTTGGTCAGGAAGGAAGCTGTACGGTAAAAGTCGGTTCCTGAGAAACACGCATTTACACTTGTATTGGGAAAGCTGGCCTTTTTTTCTTTTTTAAATGTACTGAGTACAGGGTCTATAAGGTCTCACTACACAGCTCACACTCATCGTGCTCCTCCTGTTTTCAGCCTTCCAACCACTGGGATTACAGGCATATGCCACCATGCTCAGTCTCAGTTGCTAGGAAAAAAAGAGACCTAGTAAGATTAATGGAGCACTATGAAGTAATTTGAGTAGGACTAGAACTAAGGCCGGCCTGCTGTGCTCGGGCCTCCCTCTCACTTTGACTGCCCAGCACCCAATTCCTTCGGTGGGCAAGGAGGGAGGGCTGTGGCCTCCCTGCAGAAGCAGACCAGTTTCCAGTGTGCAGAGCGTGCTGGTGTTGTGGACACAGGTGGTGCGATGGCAGGGGCTGGAGAAGGATGTGCAGGGGCTGTGGCTGTCCTCAGGAGGGACAGGTGCCCACAGTGGAGGCTGGGGACAAACGTGCTGCTGAAGACACAGGTCACCTGGAAGATGAGACAGACTGAGTCCCCTGCTTGGGGTGGTGAAGCTGCTTTCTTATGCCTCCGGGTCATAAAAGGACCTAGCAGTGCGTGGGCAGGGCACTGTGGGATACAGACCAGGGCGAGCTTCGTGGGGATGGCGGACGGGAGACGCAGTGTTCTGCAGCAGGAGACAGGCCGGACTAGAAAGAGGGCACAAACGCACACACCCAGGTCACGCAGTATTACACTGTAGCACAAGCTCAGGGTTCGCAGGATAGAAAGTTAAACCTGTACAGTGGAAAGTGGCCCAGGACTTTCTAGAGGTCAGTGGTAAGGGACGCCAGGGTAACCCAGGGGCTCAATTTCAAGGTGCTGAAGGAAGTTTCTTGCAAATCATGGGTTACGGGTCCTGAAAAATTGCTGGTGGGAGACAGGACTCCACTGGGGGTCTCACGCAAATGCAACTCTGGCTGCGCGGGCCGGGGGGGGGGGGGGGGGTCTGAGCGCCTGCATTCTAGGCAGTTCCCAGCAGAGGCAGCTGCTGGAAGCAGTGAGGAGGAGCGGGGAGCGGGCGGAAGCTGGGGGCACCAGGCATGAGAGGAGGGCTCTCTGAGAAGCGCTAGGAAAAAGGGAGAAAATGCAGGAAAGGAATATTTTCACACATTATCGCAAGGTCTAGTACACATCTGTAAAAATGTATTATCCAAGTAATAGCTCTGTGCAAGGAAAAAATAACAGACCAAAATCAATCTGCCTTTAGAGCTGGGAAATGCTTTAAAATGGCCCAGTACTTTCTAAAATGATCAAATCAACCACAAAATCATCTAAATGAAAAAACGCAGCCAGTGTTTAAAATCTAAACTGGAAGCCTAGGGTGGCATTTATTCTTGTTCTTTATTTTTACTTGCGATTTCTTCCCTAAATTAGCAACCTGCTTAGTGCCGATTACATTGTCCTGTTTGCCGTAACTTTTCGGAATCTCAGCAGAGGACGCTGAGGAAAGAAAATGAGCTTCTGTCGCTGCTGCGCAAGCACATTCCTGTGTCCTGAACACTGCCTCTTCTGATCAAATCTGACTCTAACGGGGTGGCCATGAAACAGGGACTGGGCACAAGGGTGAGAGATAGGACACCCCAGGGTCACAGGCAGAGGGGCATGATCCACAGAAAAGACACGCCCTGGACATAATCCCCAAATACTGGGTCGTTCAAGACACAAATCAAAAGCCAAGGCATTGTCGATGTTAAATGTAGCCTTTAATTTGATTTACCTTCAAACATTTTAGCATCTGAGGTAACCCTGTGATGTGGAGATTTTAAGATCGGAGAATCTTTAAAAAAAATCTGGGGCTGTATGGATTTCTAACTTGTACAGTTTTTTTTGACAATTTGTATTCTGTGGTTTCCGGGGATATCTGACGGGTGAACAAATTAACAGAATGACACCAGCATCACCAGATCGGATACACTGCCTGCAAATAAGCACGCGTCACCACAGAATTTGAGGGGCTGCTGCTCGTCAGAGGTGGAGCTACAGTTCTGCCCAGGCAGTTGTCCTCACCATCTTCAGACCTACCAGGAAGCTTGGAAATAATCAGGAGCTTGTTTTTGCCACATGGCTCACCGAAGCTGCTCTCTGTGCACCCTTTGGGCGGCAACTACAACTTGCCTTCTCTCAAGTCACAAGGGTATCGCTCATTACAGCGCAGCTAAGACCAGGCCAATAATGGGGCTGAGGTAGGAAGGTTCAACGAGCAGCTCCTGAAGTGTTTAGCACTTGTGGGGCAGGAGACACTGCACAGTGGTAGAGCTGCCTTTGGTGCATGCCCTGAGCTAGATGCCCAGTCCTGGAAAAAAGAAGAGGAAGAGAAGGAGAAGGGAACAGGGAGGAGAGAGGGTGGAGGAGAGGAGGGGGAGGGGAGGGGAGGGGAGGGGGAAGGGGAAGGGGCAGGAGAGGGGAGGAGGAGGGGGGAGAGAACTCCTGTCCAGGGAACAAGTCATTCACAGCTGTCTTTGTGAAATCGGTTTGTCACAGGTGTCTCCGGTGTTACTCATGCTCACATCCAGCTGATTCAACACTCACTAATGTGCTCCATTTACTGGGGAAGAGGGTGAATAGAAAATATTCCCTAACCTTTGGAAGCCTCAAGGCACAACAAGACACAAATCCAGAATACAAATCATGCCATGATCTTCTCTTTTGTAACTGAGGTTTTTTTTCGGTTTTGGCCTTGAGCTCACTAGGTAGCCCAGGCTGGTCCCAAACTTATGAAGAGCCTCCTGCTTAGCCTCCTGAGTGCTGGGATTATAGGTGTGCAGAATGCCCCACAGAATTTTTAAAAAATTATGGTAAAGAGACCTAAAATTCACCACCATAATTAAGTGTCTGTTAATCAAGTTCACACTACAGTGCAGCCTCCACTACCATCCACTTCCAGAGCTCTTCTCTTCTTGCAAAACTGGAACTCTCTACCCACTAACATGTTCATGAGTGGGCTATGTTCATACAGCTCTCTGCTGGATGGCTCTGGACTATGGTGGTCCATGCGTGGCTGTCCCCTCAGGTGTCATGGGGCAGTCCCATCTGCTGGCACAGGCTGTCTGATAGCAGCGTCATGCATGTGCTGCCAGCGGTTCAAGCCAGCCACGTGTCAGACAAACAACACTGGAGCTCCACTACCTGCTCCCAGCCTCTGGCAACTGCCATTCTCTCTACGTTCCTAAGAGCTGCGCTTCACTCAGCAAGGCACATGAGCAGACTCCTACTCTGTCGCTCCCATGTCTGGCCTTCCTCACTCAGCGCTGTTCTTCAAATCCCATCATGCTGTGGCAGGAGTTGAAATTTCCTTCCTTTTTAAGACTAAATAGCATTCAACTGCCGATGGATCCTTAAGCTGCTCCTGCCTTTCAGCATTTATGAATAATGCTGCCGTGAACCTCTGTGTACCACACACGTGATCTTCAGGTGTCTAGAAGATGGTACAGAAGAACAGATACTCCTGGAGATGTAGAGATATTTGCCCTGAACAGCAGCAGGAAGGGTCCCCCCAGCCAGGAGTGCGTGGGAGAACAGGCAGCCTGGGAGAACCAGGGACTGCCTGGCATGGGGCTACGCCCATGTTGGGAACGAAGGCTGGCAGAGGGATTCCTACTGCTTGCTTTGTTCGGATTTAGTCTCACCAGAAGCCTCCCCCCCAAGGGGTGAAAGGGACACAGCTGGTGGTGTGGATGCCAAGAGATCCAGGCCCCAAGCCTTCCTGACATCTCTCGTGCCTGCCCCTGGCTTTCCTTTCACGGATTCACAGTGGGGCTCTGGGGCCTATGCTCCCTGCAGCACAGGTCTCTGCAGAGCCCTGATGGGGCTGTGGCTCGAGTTCTTTCCTGGTGGCTGGGAAATGGCCGGGTAGCTCTGGCCAAAAAGGCCTGGGCCTGGGGTCTGGACAAGGTCAAAGCAGTGGCGTAGCCCGCTAAGGGGCCAGAAGGGAGCCACATGAGCAACAGATCCTTGTTTGAGGAGGAAACAAGAGGCCGTGAGAGGCCAGCAGAGCAAAAGCAAAGCATACGTGGGAAGGCAAGACAGGCTAAGGAGAAAGCAACACAAGGAGCAAGAACTGATGGGAACTGGGTATAGGAGCCTCGGTGACAAGGAGCCAGCGCTACTTTCTAGATACAATCATGAATAGTTAGATGTTCAAAACAGTATCCTGGGTAGCCTGTGTCAGGTTAACCCCCAATCCTGATGTTCAGGGCCCACCAACTGCCACAAGGCCGCACTCCACACTGAGAAGGGAATGCTGGCCTCTTCCTTCCACAGTCCCTTTCCAAGGAAGACTCATCTCTGTCATCGTGATCTCATGGTACCACAGACAACAGGCCCACCAGGATGCCAGCGAGCAGATGCGGCACTAAAATCTAAATCTTGTACTTAAAAGTGGGAAGCAGCAAAGGAATCCTAACCAACCTTTTCTGTCGATTTAATGAGTGCCGTCAGGTGCTTCAATACCACAGGCCCGTCCAAGCTGTACGTGAAGCTCATGTTATCAAAGATGATCACTCCTTCGTGGGGCCAGCCTGGTGGCGGGCGTTTCTGGTACTCCCAGGGTGCTTCTTTTTCTAGGTCTGTGTATTCAATCACTCTCTCCACCGAAATCATCTGTCAGAGACATAGCATCCACAAAGGTTACACTGTCGAGCCTTGGTGGTGGTGTCCCAGATGCTCAGGCAGTGCTCTGGTCAAGGGTACCCCACACGCCGCTGGACGAGGATGTCCCAGGTCTGAACATTTAAAGACGGAGGAGGACCTCCATGCTTTGCTGCTGGGTTTACCGTCATGTCGCACCTTCCCTCATGACGCGTTCTGTCAGTGTTCTAACACTGAACACAAAGAGGATTTTGTAAAAGTGAAGAACACTCATGGCCTCCATCAATGATCTGTGGCCACGCCTAGCCATCATTTTAATCAGATAGTCAGCAAACTTCACTGTAATAATTCTGTTCAATGGGAAGAGTGAAATGGAAATATTTCATGTTCACTGTTCCTCTCCCTAGGAGGTTTAAGTATTTAAAAGAGGAAGTGATGTGTCCATTGATTAAGCCCTTCGTAAACAACCACGGGCTGGTAGGAGCCCACGAAAGAGAGGGCCCTACTAGGAAGAAACAGCAGCAAATTCTGGGCTTCATGCCGTCTGCTCTTTACATAGGAGAAGAAATGCTAAAACTGTGAGGGTGGGTGGGTAGGAGTGGGGGAGGCCTATTAATTAAACAAACAAACAACTTCAAAATATTGAATTCTTCTTTTACCAAGAATGAGGAATTACCCATTAAGAAACAAAAATAAACAGGCCTCTAAGAAATTAGCTTATATCCTCTCTAGGATTTCAGAACTTTCCTCCTACAGAGACATTTATTACATCTGAAGACAGCTTGTGGTGAATATAAAACCTGCTGACATAGCATACATGAGACTGAGAAAAAGATGTATATATTTTATTTTACATTAACTTTAAACAGATGGAAGGATTTTTTTTTAAGAAAAACCCAGTTAGCTACGATTAAAAATAACAGTTTTAATATTTTACATAAGAACCGCTTTTATGCCATTTAATGGCAAAGAGTCCTGAAAAGGCCAGGAACGTTCGATAAACATTACCATATTCTCCACTTCGGCGCTTTGTCTCACAGACCACTGGAACATCCCCATGAGGGTGAGGGCGTAGGACAAGGCCAGGCCAACCTGCCCGGCATCCAGAGCTACACAGAGCGGGAGGAGAAAACAAAGTCAATCTCATTTATAAAGCGTGCCTCGTGGCGTCTGCTACTCTACCACGAGGACCCAGCAAGCTGCCCGTCACGAGAGTTGCGACTGCACGTCTACTCTCTGCCAATTGAGACTATGACACAATTTTGTAAACCCTCGTGCTTTTAGAAAGCATATTAAATGAGTTTATTAATCCCAACAGGATCAGCATAGGTTCGAAAGAAAGCACCATTAGATACATGGGGAGTGACGTCATTATGCAAGCATATATCACAATGGTTTTGCTGCCCATTATGTAATCCCACGCTTTCTACGTCCAAGGCAACCACAGCTGGAAACCACTAAGCACAGGTGACAGGCTCTAAGACATTATGCTTTGCATAGTAAAATACTACTGTCATTGTTCTATTATTAAGTATCATCATACAGTGGTGTCACTATGGAAGTTGGGGATGGTGCATTCACACTGCACACACCAACCTCTGCTTGTCTGATATCCGCCTGGCAGTGACGACAATGCTCTCTGCTGCTGAGACTGTTTCTCAACCCAGTACACAGGCAACTCCACCACTAATCTAGGAGTCCAGACACAAACTTCAAGCCCTAAGGACAAAATGCTCAACTGCAATCTGGGTTTTCTCCTCACAACTACCAGACATAACCAGGACTTTCCAGTCCATCATTTGCACAGCCACTCGAAGGAAGACAAAAGGGCTGCGCCAAGACCCAGGGACTCCTTTGAACAAGTCGCACCCTGAAATCACACCCATGCTTACATGCTGTAAACGCTTCAGTACATTTCATTAGAAGCAAATAATACATACCATCAGACAAGGTGGCAAGAGTTTAATTTAATAACTGGAAACACAGCTATAAATTGTAATCATGCCATAAATAGTTATTCACATCTGCACTTACTCTGTGCCAAAATCAGGGACCCAAAGGCAACAACGATGACAAAGATGGCACAGATGGCATCCAGACGCACGGCGAACCATCGCGATGTTGTCAGAAACAAGAACCAAGCCTCTGTATTTGGGAACCAGAACAAGCACGATGTATCAGTACAAAAGCCACATGGACTGCAGTGGATGTGGGCAGCACCACACTGCTAACTGAGTAGCACAGCAGAGCCACGCACACAAGGAACCTGAAGGCCCCAGAAGGCTGGACGATGCACCCGTGGTATCCACACAAAACTGCAGTGCTCTGAAAAAAGGTGCAGTGAAACAGGCAACCCAGAGGTGATGAGCAGAAACACAATTGTAATTTTACAAAAAGGATTGAAATGGTTTTGCAGGGCCAGCTATCATGTGAAGTTAGCCAGCTCACACAAGGCTTGGTTCAGAAGCAGAGAGTGCAGCTCACAATCTGTTTCTAGAACCTTCCATACCTACAGAGTCCTACACACAAGGTAGAGGGCTTTGGAGCTGCATATGAATGGCTGCCTTCTTCAAAGGATCTGCAGATGGTTTATAAAATACCATGCAAGAAATCAAAACTATACAGATTGGGAAGATGGGCTACGTGTCTGTATATTCCGAGGAAATTTGGAAATGTCTAAGTGGGGAAAAAAATCTTGCTTCTACAAAGAATAACCCACATCAAGGGGTCAGCCAATTTGTTAAGTGGAAAATTGATTTTTTTTCTGTCAGTTCTAAAACCTCATATGCTCTAAAGTCTAAATCAAGGGCCGGCCAAATAGCTCAGTGGATTAAAGCACCTGCAAGCAGGTGTAGGGACTGGGGTTTTGTTCTTTGAGCCTGCCGTGCTGGCCCTGGCCCTGGCCCTGGGGCACACTGAGATGGCAATTGAGACTGGGCATGTTTGCGCACGCCTAAAATCCCAGCTCTTGGGAGGCTGTAAACAGGCAGATTACTATGAGTCCAATCTAGTAGTGAAACCCTGAACACCCTGTAGACCCTTCCCTAAAAATTAAAAAAAAAAATAATAATAATAATAAAAAGTCTAAATGAAGGGCCAGTAACCCGCAGCCCATGGGCCAAGATGGGCAGATGTGCTCGGCACCTATTTAGTAGACATTTGATGGGAGCCTGGCCAGTGATGGATACAGTACCTATGTTTGCTTCAGAATCAGAGCAGCACAGGGAGGTGCTGCTGCAGGGACTACCCAGCACACAAAACCTGAAATAGTGCTTAGGCAGCCTTTTGAAAAACAGAGAAAGGGAAAAAAAGTTTGCTGAACCCTGCCCCACAAGGACAGAGAGCCACAGGGCACTGAGCTGGATGGGCCATGCAAAGTGGGAGAGTACAAAGGGATACCATGAGGAGCAAAAGCCAGGGGCAGAAGGACAGGAAGATGCGCTAAGGGGGCCTGGGCAGCAGGCAGCGGTGTTACCCGCGAAGCAAGCAGTTGGTCCCACGTTCCGAGGCCACTTCCAGATATGTACAGACCTGAGTGCAAGTCCTGGTGTGCATCGAACAGCTCCTGACACCTCTCTTCAGCCCTGTACGCCCGGATGGTCCAGAGCCCCTGGAGGGAAGAGGACAAGTGGGAAAAGACCGGACTCCGTGCTGCAGAAACACACACAGACACAAAACAGAGGAAGCCTGGTAAGACTGGATGCAGGAAACCAGCTCCTCCTGTGCTCCGGGGCCAGGCACTCTACCACGGCGAAAGCAGGGGCTCCGAGTTTCCACATGAAATACTCCCGGCAAGCTGGAGAGGACTCTGCATGCTGGTGCCCAGCCCCTGCACCTGCCTCATTCTAGGGACTGCGAGACTATAGTCCTTCTCTACCCACCTTCAAACTAATCCAAATTGTTTTCATTCTCTCTTTGCTAATCCACCCTTCAATGTCCTCTCTTCCACTCTTCCGGCCATCTTTTTAGGGAGAAATTATTTTTCACTGATTTTTAGGCCAGTAACATTATTGTTATTTACAATTCTGTTAAGAATACTTCCTACAATAAATAACGATGATCTCTTTATGTGTCTGCTTGTACCTCAGATACTGACTTGGGGGCCAGGGCATACATGTGGGAGGCCAGTAACCAGGACAGCACCCAACACACCTCCTTGCGCCCTGGGGAATCTTCCTTCATCAAGTGTGCAAGAAGAGTCCTTCATGGCTCGTGCACCTGGGCATCACACTGCATTTGTGCCCACAGAAGCTGCTCCGCCAAGAGGGCTTTGCCTGGTCTTGGCCTCAGCTGTTAGACCGCGAAGGATGCTTTTGTAACTACCCTACCAGAAATCTGTCCTCATGTTTGGAGGTCACTGTGCCATATGGCCTCGGTGGCCATCTCACCTTAACAGAATCTAGAAAGGCACATTCCCCTTTGTGTGTCTTCACTGACTGGGGACATGGGTCCCATGACTGGCCATGTGCTTCAGCACACTGTATCATGACACAGGCCAAGCCCTCTACCCCACACCTGGATTTCCCGCCATGCAGGATGGTTCCCAGAGTCTCCCCCTCTGCACTGCGAACAGGGCTGCCATGGGCAGGGCGTATCAAGGCCAGTACCCAGCATGCAGTTCTCACCACTGTCTGGGATGAACCATTTGTGCTTTATGGGTAAGAAATATGGACAGATCACTTTGTTACCTGTCCATATCCTAGAGAAGTCCTGTTGGTAAAACATGGAGCATTTAGAAGTGAAGCCTATTCATCTTACAAAAGGCTGTGTAGGTTTCGTAAGACGACAAGAGGGTAAAAATCAAGGGAAAAAACTTGAAGTTCTTCTGTAGGGCCCTCAAGCACTCATCTGTGTACCAGGGCCACCCAGCACGGGTATTTCCACTGTGTCCATGGCTGCTGTGTGTGTTCTGGGGAACTGGGGAACGTGTGTACTAAGACCCAGTTCTGCCTCATAAATCAGTCTATAGCTGCACAAGCAAGGAGGAAGAGGGCTTCTAGGTACGTATGACGCTCAGGTCATGGAAGGGGCCTAGACATCAGCCACGGTCCTGCTGACCTCCCATTCATCCCTGGGGCTCTGGGCTGACCGGGATGCATCTTTCACTCTGTGCTTTTAAGATGGTAATGCGAGGTAAGAGGACTGAAGTCATGCTCCAAATAAGAAAGGCGGACTTTCCCACAGGCTGTTTCTGTAGACTTCAGCAGATATTCCAACCTGTCCACAGTAGTCACTCTGCAAACAGGGTGCTCCTGAGGATGACCAACATAGGATTCCACGTGCTCATTCCCTACAAAGAGTATGCTAGGTCTGGCTCATTAGAACTGGGTGCCCTCCTTTACAGAACTAGGAAGTGTCATGACAAGAATACTATTTCATTGGAGATAATGGCTATAAGAAGGCAGGGATGGTGGTCACCCATGCAGGGTCTTCAAAGGAAGCCGTTAGCTTAGGCATCCTCAACAATGTCCCCTATCAGGACACCAAAGTCACCACTAACTCTCTCGAGCTGGGCTTAAGGGCAGGGTCCACTTTACAACTGCCTCCCAGCCATGAGGACCAAGAAAGCCATGGCCAAGGTGAGAGCTGCTGAGGTACAGCAGGAATCTGCACCTATAAGAAAAGATTCTGCTTCTTTCATATCCTACAAAGGGCTGTGTGGGATACCGTGGGGGTGCACTGAAGGGACTGCAAGACCATCCCAGTAGTCCTAGGGACAGAACATGGCAAGGTTCTGGGTTATTTTACCTTTTTCCTACACAGACCTCAAAAGCTAGCGTGTATAGCCTGTGTAACATCAAGGCTCCAGTGCAACTCTACATTTCACAGGACCCAGGGCTGTGCTTGCTGCCACCCTGAGCCTTCTTTGGGACATATCCTGAAGCACTGGGTATCTTCTCAGGGAAACATTAGGGCAGAGATCTTGGTATTCATTTACACTATGGGAGACCTCCTCCTTATTGCATTTTTAATTCCCTTGTATGTGAGGTTCTTGTACCTTGGGTAGTGCCCAGCAAGGACTTTCCAGGCACTGTCTCAAGCAATCCTCAGGAGAGTACCACAGGCAGGTATGCTTACAGCCTTAACAAAGGAAAATGGACCTGAGGCATTAACTACATGACTCAGGATTAAATAAATTATTCCATGTAGTACAGTTGCGTCTCAGACCCATCTCTTACTCCCAAGGCTGTGCTTATAATCTGAGTCAGAGTCTCAAGGGGTCAATAATTAAGAGTTAAAGGGCTCATGTGTTATTAGACATATTTTTCTCTAGATTTTGCAGCATGTGGTTAGAAAGCTCCTCAACTCTTACTTTACTAATACCCATTAGGTTTCTCTAAATGGAACAACAGCCCTGGGAATCTGGCATAGAAACTCTTTAAAGTGGTAGCTTCAAGGTCCAAAAATGAGGAGCACAGGTAGAATGCTCTACTCCCAAATGGGTGCCTGGGGCAGACATTGTTAATGGATCACAGAACCATTGTGGAGAGAAGGCAGGCACTGTCAGATGCCGCATAGGCTAGAGAAATGTAGCCAAATGCCATCCTGGTTTTACGCACTTCTGTGTAACTGCTGCTATCTTTGCCGTTGGAAAAATAAAAAGCATTATGGCCAACTACTATTAAGAGTGCTTAAACATCAGCCTATGCTTCAAAAAGCAGTTAGTCAGTAGGATCTGAAAGTAGATCTTGGGGCTCTAGTAAGTCCCCCAAAACACAAGGATAACATAGGTCTATACCCCTTTTCACAGCCATCGGTCATTCTTCTTTCTGCTGGTGAAGCACACCAATGGCCTCAAAAATCACCAGCAACTATTACTTGGAAAAAACAGTAGAGCTATTACTTACAGCACAACCACATACCTAGATGGATGCCAGGAAGTGGTCCATGCAATTATCTGGGGATGCGGAAAAGGGTACAGCCATATGTAACTCCTTGAAGCCAACCAGGATGCAGAACTCACATTCTCCACAGGGAGCATGACAAAGTTGTAAGACTCTCCATATCAAAATTATGCCAAGGCTTAGGATGTGCTCTGGGTTTCAGGAAAGAACACTGTATCTGCTTCTTACAAAAAGCTTTAATTTGATTTTGTTTTGAAGACAGGTGTCACTGTGTAGTTTTGACTGGCCTTGACCTCACTACACAGCTCAACCTGGCCTTGAATTCATGCCAATCCTCTTGCCATAGCCTCCAGAGTGCTGCGATTACAGGTGTGCCCAACCGCACCAGGCCTGCCTGAATCCTGTCGCTGTAGCACAAGTCACAGCAGCACAGTGTTACACACGTGAACCTCGCCACACTGCCCACCATTGAAACACCTGAAGTGATGGGCCCACACAGCGGTTTCCCAGCTCCTCCTGACGACTGAGAAGCTTTTCTGTACCTTTTATGAATCCTCACTTGCTCCAGTTCATATGGACAGTTATGATAAATGGCTCCTGAGAGTTTATTACTAAAAAGGAGACACATATGCCATATGAAAAGAACTCCTTTGTCCTAATGAACTTATTTTTTTTCCAGTTAGGGGACTTGTAATTCTTCTCTTCTTGGCTTGGTTTTCAGAAAGATGAGCTGTATTTCAATTGTACTAACTATTCATCACAGAGGTTTTCTGATGGAATATCTTCCTTTTCTACTTTTTGGCGATGATTCTTAGTTTTTATAAAAAATTAGCAATTTTACCCTCCTTATGGTTTTAAATTTTAATAATAGTGAAATATGCTAGTTTTTACATTCATAATGAGATGAGCTCTGGATTAGTTCATCCTCTGTGATTATGTGCAGAGTACAGTGATTAATCATAAGACATTTTTTCCATTATGCCTAACTAGAAATTTAAAGAGAGTGATAAATAGACTAAATGTATTCTAAACTTTTTTCCTTCTGGTTTTTCAGTATCCATGTGAAAAACTCAAACTATGAGACAATTACACCAAGCACCGCTGACAACCAGGAGCAAAACTGCCAAATAACAATACTTATGTTTTCAAAGCATTTAGTAACTGCAACTTACTATCAATAAATAACAATTCTATCTTTCAAATACATTACTTCTGACATATGAGCATGTCTCCCATACCCCACCCTTCCTTTCCTTGTCATTTCCAGTACCTTTAGGGAAGGAAAAACTCCCTGATTATTTTTCTTCTAAATTAGTTCAATACTTGATGAGATGTTTTATTGGAAAAATGCTTATTGAGTGCTTGCCCTGGGTATGCAGGGAAGTCTGTCATGAGCAAGACCGAGAGGGCCCGTTTGCAGCGAACTCCACTTGAGTAATATTCCACATCTGCCTTATGATAACTGCAAACCTGCACCCGGCAGGCTACCAGCTCCATTCACCTCAAGGGCCAAATGACTCCCCCAAATTCCGACCACTAGGTTTAATTTCCTCAAAGTACCAAAGGGCAGAATTCTCGAGGATGAAGCCTGAGAACTCCCGCCACTCCTTCATGATGGCACTGCACGCCTGCTACTGGGCCTCGGTACTCACTTGTAGACTCCAGTCGTTTGACATCCCTTGAGGTTTCTAAGAAGTATCGCCGAAGAATGAAGAAAATGATGGCAAGGGGAATCATGGGTATTGCAATCCAAGGAATCACGGCCACAGCCACAGCCACCACACTGATGACAAGCAGCAATGTCTGAAAGGGTAGAAACAGAGACAGGCGCCTGACCTTACTGCGCTGTTTGTAAGGACTCCATGCCTGTCCTCAGAAAGCCTTGCTAGGACAGGAGAGCACTTACTCTCCCTTCTGAGAAATAACAAAGACGTTGGTGGCACCGAGGATATGTATCACATGCCTGCACTGGGCAAAACACCAGGAAGAGGATGTTTTAATATGCTTATTAAAATGTTTACTACATTTGGATACTTACATTAGCCATAGGAGGCAAGCTTTGCTAGCTCTTCCTTATTTAGTAGATTACACAGCTGAGACTGGATTCCAAACTACCTTGAATCAGCACAAGTTACTAGGGAAACTAACAAGCAGGTACTGGATTAGGAATCCAGGAACCTCAGCTACACATGGGTAAAGACGTGGCTTACTGCAAATTCAATGCTCAGAAAAGGAGTACAGGACTCTGTGTCTTCACCTTGCGTAGCGAGAAGTCCTCTCTGGGCTCTCTACCTATGGTTAGTATCACTAAACACTATGCAATTGGCTGTATATTAAGCATGCCATATGTATGGACTCATTCAAACCTGAAAACACACTTACCATGTGCTATCATCTTATTTGACAGGAAAAGACACCAAGGAACAGGGAGGAAGAAGCAACTTGATCAAACTTATACACCATCACTGCGAAGCCTAAAGCCATAAAAGGTCCTAAGATACGAACCTTTTTTTTTTTTTTTAATGTATTTAGTACAGGGTCTCACTACACAGATCAGACTCATAGTGATCCTCCCATTTTCAGCTCCCAAGTGCTGGGATTGCAGGCAGGTGACCACCAAGCCCAGTCTTAAACACTGTCTCAGTGCACACCAAGGGCGGGGCCTGCAGTGCATGCTGGGGATCAAACCCCAGTCCCTATGTCTTCCTAAGCAGGCACTTTAGTCCGCTGAGCTATCTGGCCGACTTGGACACTTTTTTATGGTCATGAAAAATAACTTTTCTTATTGGGCCTCATAATTTGTTTTTAATTTTTCTTCTAAACATCCTAACTTGAGGGATATCAAAGTTCATTAACAGACCCAATTAAGATTAGAGAAATTTAATTTTTTTTAGAAATCTTTTTTTTTGTCCACATGCTACAACAGATTGAGCTCCGGGGAGGTTCAGGCAGGACCCCATTCTATTTTAGCTTATTTTTCCATAATTTTATTGAGAAACAAATAGCAATGAGACAGTTTCAAATCAAATTAGAACAGTTTCAATAATTAACACATTGCATACTGTCTTCCTAGTGGTTATTTGTTGTATAAGATGCAGACATGATATCCTATTTACAAACACTATTAGAACAAATCCCTCTATTCATTGAATTAAGAGAATGTAGCTGTATAGCCTAACCATTTTGAATACACAGATACAAAATGATCATTCATTTGTATCCCTTTTTTTGTTTAGTTCCATCATTTAAATATTATAGGTGTGTGAACTCAGCAAAATATTCCAAAATAGTCCAGTAGTCCATAATAGTATTGGGTCTTCCATATGATTGGCAATGTCAGAAGTTGTTGACCTGAGTCCCCTACAGCTCATCATAACAACATGGTTTTACTTCTTTTTTAGAAATCTGAGGGGGACAACCCACTCAGGCCCCCTCCTATCCCTCTCTCGGACAGGAGCTTTCTTTCCCTCAATAAATATATTCTGCTCATTTAAAAAAAAAAAAAAGAAAGAGATCTGAGTAAGAGTTTTGAAAGCCAGAGGTCACCTTCAATGTCTGTAAGATTTTCTGTTGGTGTTTTAAATTCTATGTCCTAGAAATGCATTAACTTTTTCGTTAGGATAAGAGTTCAGTGTCTGCTTGCACGGCAAATGTCAAGGACCATAGCCCATGCTATGAACCAGGCATTCACTGTAAGAATGGCCCTGTGTGAACACTTTGTGCTATGCACGCTCACGTGCTCATCGCCTCCCCTAAGAAGGGACTTTGTCTTGAGAAACCCTGACATTCTGTGAAGATAGCAGAAGGACACGAAGCTGCAACACTGGATGCTGCTGGCGTAAGGAGCCATCTTTACCAGGCGAAGTATGATGTCATGCTCTGTGGCCTCAGGTGATAGGACTCAGTGCAACACTCAAGCCCAGCAGCTGGGGCCTGGGGGTTGGGGGGTAATGCGGACTCTGAGGGTCACAACCTTACACAGACATGCTGGCCTCAGCGGGATCACTACTGCTGTGGACATACAGGTTTGGGGCCTTGGTCACCACCACTTGTAAAAGAGATGCTGCATGTGTACTTGATCCTGCGAAGGGACAGTGAACAGCTCTTCCCAACAAACCACCCTTAATTGGAATGAACTGCTAATGAGGTTTGCAAAGGTGATAAAAATAAAGCTTATAAAAATGTTAATTGTTTTGTTTTAAAAACTGCCCCCAAAGTCAGAAAAAGACATTGCTGTACTGTTTGTACACACAGTAAATGTCCCTATGATAATGAATGAACTCTCTGTTTTCTACTTGACAACTGAAGTACAACTGCTCTACTCTCTGAAACGCCAAACACAGATCACATGTTTGGAGGGCTGTCCGAGTCTACCCTCGTAACTTCTTCACTGTCACAGCAAACTGACATCGTGGGCATCACCATCTCCTTTACAAATGAGGAAACTGAGGCTCAGAGGGTGAAGTGATTGCCCGAAGTCAGATCCCTCAGAGTCATTTCCATCTTGTCTGTTCTCTTAATCTCTGCATGCCAATGTATCCTTATACACATAAGATTTGGAAAAAATAACACCTACATATACCATTTTATATACAGTATTCCCCCAGAATATGTAGTACTCTCTGTATCTGTCACTTTTGTCGGGTTTCTTGCTTTCTAATAGGGTGACTCTCCTTGACTCTCCAGCTACTCAGGGAACAACAGGCCACTCAACGCAAAAAACAGAGGGGGGCATGAAAAGGTCCCTAAAAATGCTTATAACAGAACACACTGATACTTGTTGGTTAAAGAAATTATTATTCCAAGTTTTTTTTAAAAAGAGTGTTTCACAAGAAAGATGAGTTTTAAGTCCAAAAGCACAACAATTTAGGGGGGAATAAAGAGCCAAATTTAATTTTAATAGCTATGTAAAAGCCCAGTATACAAAACGGAGCACTGGATATTTGCACATTTCATATCTGCATTTGAATGGTGGTAAGAACATAAAATTTCCCCAAGAAAGAATTTCTTCTAGAACTAGTATTTTGCGCTATCACAAGTTTGAACAGTTTTCACAAACACAATTTTAATTATAAGGCGCTATTTGTGTTTGGTATTTGCCTATCAAATTGCTTACAGTTCTGTAGGAATTTCAAGGCATCGACCTACAGTGCATTATAAACTTAATTCCAAGAGCTTCTGTTTCTGCTAGTCTCTGTGAGATTCGTGCCAAAGAACATGTTTCCTATAAACAGCAGTAAAAACGCAGTCGTTTCTGAGGCAAAGAGCACGCACTGGCTCCCAGCTCGCTCCACTCCTCACCTGAACTCCGCCTCGCACTCCTACTAGGCACAAGGTAAAGGCTGTATTTACTCATAAAGCCACTTAATCAGGAGAGTACTTTACTATTTGCTTACAGTATTAAAAAAAAATCAGGATCATCAAGATTGCTAACAACTCAGTGGAACTGGAATGCTTTTAATTCTGCTGTCAGTCAGACTCAAGAATTCTGTTCCAATTTGTGATAAGTGCAAATTATCCAGATTGCCTTAAACTATTACTGATTTTGCAGAAGATAGGATGTAAGTGCAATAAACAAAGCAGGGTGTACTTCTTGGCAAGAAGGCAGGGCCAATTTCCTCCGATTTAGAAAGGAAAAAAACCTGATGCCTAGTGCGTGGTTTTCTTTTTTTTTTTTTTTTTGGTTTTTTTTTTTTTAATCAGTAAGCTGTTTTTCTATCAGTAAGCTGTTTATTCATGTGAGTTTATTCATGTGTGTGTTGTGACTAATCCATAATTCTTGAGAAGGCACTAAAATTCTGAAGCCTATCCAAACTTCTAAAAGTATTAAGTAAAACTGTCATTCGTATCAAATTATACTCATTACCCTCAATTACAGGTTAAGTCCAAGCAAAACGGAAGACATAGAAGGCCTTAAATGCAAGCCCATAAGCCTCCGTGCTGCCCCGGTGTCACCATGAAGTCAGCAGGTGCAAGCTAAGCGCTCGCAGGCCACCCCGCACACCTCAGGAGTTCAGAGGTCACTCTGCTTCCCAGGTCCACTTTGGTACAGACCCGCCTTGGGAGGTTTCTCTCTTAACACCCGTTTCTCCTGACCTCACCCAACTCAATTAATTACCTTTGCTAAATCAGGACTTTATAGAATGTCGTTATTCGTATTTGTATAAGCGCAGCTACATAAATGTTCTCTAAGATTAAGCTTTTTCTAAACCTGGATATAGTAACCAGTCCTTTTATCCCGTGTTTGGCTGGCCTCCTGTTTCCCATCCACAGCAGCTCCAGGAGCTGGTCCTCCTTCACTTAGCAACTGCACTGCGGAGTGACTGACCTGTAGGCTGTAATCTGCGCGCAGGCGCGAGGCCCATGTGCTGCCCTCTGCCTGCCTTTGCATTCAGCAGCTCTCGTGGATCGATAGATCCCTTCCTGTTTTTTTATTTTCGTATTAATGCTTATTGCAAACTTCAAGGCAGAAGCCTGCAGCTATACTTCTTTTAACAAGCACATCTTAAAATTAAAGGTAGGAAAAGTGAAAACATTCATCGAAAGAAAGGTGCAACAGCTGGCACTATCTCCGTAAACACAGAAGCTTTAACGCAGGGAGGATGCCTAAAAGAAAACATTTCACAAGAAAAAAGGGTCAGATCACCTGAACAATATAAACAAATCCATCTATATGAATCCAAAAATAGCTCCAAAATGAAAACAGGGAAGCCATAATGAACCTAGGAGAAACAAATTCAGTTACAAAATCTGACCTACTTGGAAACTTAATAGCCAGCAGATAAAAATCAAGGGTCACAGAA